ATAATAATAATAATAATAGTGTAGTTTTATATAGCGCACATATCCATCTAATGTAAGATGCTCAGGGCTCTTGAAATATAGACTAGGAACTCGACCAATGACTTTCTTCGCCCCTAAGGGTCCCTTCGTGTCTGTGCAACCCGGTACCAGCAACTCTCGTCGTCCACCACAGGGGCTGTCTGTTCCAGTACACCGGGGTAACCCCCTACTCGTCTCGAAGAATGTACTGGGTTCTTTATAGTGCACACGAGCCATTGTATACACTGGGCCTACGGTTTCTAGTCCTTATCCGAGAAGACTTGTTCTACCACCAGAACCATAGGCGAGCGTGCCGTTCGAACCAGCGCCGATATTATGGCTATAGCTTGCGGCATCCCTGCTAACCGCTCGGCCATTCGACTCGGCCATGATACTCCATGCTGTTCTCTGAACTATTTGTTCAAGGCAACCCATGCATAAGCATTGCAAAACTCGCACTGATGTACATTTCAGTGGGAGGTGAATTTCCGAATAACTTTGTGGTTTTATGTTAACACCAATAAGTTTTTTAGCTAATGCTTCCACTAGATATTACTGTTTATATTAGTATATACCATTTTTGAGTCCCATGAATTATTTCAAAAATTTACCTCCCAGTCTTTGTGTCTGTTATTCTTGCCGACTGCTTGAGTCATAATCTGTTTATCCACTGGGCAAGCAAGTAAAGAGTGACTTAACATCGGGATTATTATAATAACTACCCACAACAGTTGTCCTCCAGTCAGCGGTGGGGGTAGCATGAGGAGAGAGGACAGTAAATATAACATGCTAAGAGATACCAAACAAAATATCAGGAAAATCTCAGTTGTATAAATTGCTGAACTGAAGCCCCTCGCCTAAAAAAGAAAGACAAATAAGAAGTGGTTAATGAATCATGTTTAATGTATGTAAATTTCTTTAGGAAGAACCTTGAACATCTTCAAGTGGCTGAGCGGTAAGGCTAACATGAGCCTTAACATCGGCAATGGTTTGAGCCGCTACTAGCTCAGGGTTCGGTTGGTATACATCTGGCTCGTGTGTACCTTAAAGAACCCATTGCATCTTTTGGAGAGTAGGAGGTTATCCTGACGCTATGGTTCGTTTCAGCCCCTGTTGTTGTGGAATGATATGAACATGTAGCTACTATAAGCCCTTCTTTACTGCGGCTAGGTAGTCCCAGACCACGCCCATTCAATACAGCACAATGACGATGCAAGTTATGGGTCATTTTCCTACATTTACCCTTTACTAACATCATTATCATCATCATCATTTGCCATAGTTGTGGTCATCACTATAAAAAATACCACCATCAGCATCACAATTTCCAACAATCAAAATCTAATTAAATTTCAACTGACCTCCTTAATGAGTTTTGTGAGGCGAACATTGTCGTCTGTATGGAATGTTAAACAGCATGGCAAGCTGGCTAATTGACGAGTGACGTTAAGGGGGGAGTATTTTGTACGTAATAAAGACTGATGCGCAGGACGACCGGAACAAGTACTGGGCAGTAATGGATCTAACGCAAGGCTGAAAAAAATATTAATATTCAAATAGTTTAATCTGGTTTGCTTATTTGTACATCCATTTTGTTTGGTTTATTAACGATTAAATTGCTACAACAAAAAAATACAGTTCATAAAAACCAAGCCTGCTTCAAAAAATGCAAAAAAAAAGAGAAGTTTCTTAATCCACCTTTCCTGATTGTCATTACTGGAAGTAACTAATTGTAGTTAAGAGTAAAGTACAGTATTTTAAGAGTAGTTAAGCGTAGCCTAAGGTAGTTAGGAACGTCCTGGGTACAACATTAAACTCAGGAACGTCCTGGGTGCAACATTAAACTCCAACCTGTTGAAGTGTCTGCGACTAAACTGACAACCCTCTCAGATGTGTCTTAGTGGCTGCTGAGGGGAGGGTGTTTATGGTCACCCAGCAGCAAAAAAAACCAATGTATAGGGGCAATGTGCAATATGCACTATATAAATATAATACTATTATTAAGTACTATAACCAAATTCTTCCTTTTAAATCTGTTATTTATTGAATGAAATATTTTAATAAATATAATTTACATTGAATGCCTATTACCTAGTGAAATCTATAGTTTGTTGGCTTAATTTCGACATTATATTATAACGATACCTCGCATTGGCTTGCATGAATATCTCTGTATTGCTGACGTTTAAACTGCTACCGATGCAGCAAACAACCTCACCATACTCTTGCATTATCTGTAGCATTTCCCTTGTTGCTGCAATCATCATATAAAACATTGACACAACTTGGTATTATGGAACACCTTCATCATAATTATATCTGCCACATTATAGTTAAAAAATAATCCATTAGTTAATTCCACCACAATCCACCACCACCCAGCTGAAATAAACTACTATTAATTGATGGAAAAACTAAACCCGGACACATACGACCCCATTATTTCGGAATCAAGGTTCCGGGAGGGAAAAAACCCTTGATTACACAGAATCGAAGAAAATATAGATAGTACAATTTTGGATGAATGTAGGCTCACCAATACTATGAAATATGACCTAAATATGTAGAACTGGCAGTTGGAAGGTCAACTTACTTTCTGGGGTGACATCTGTGAAAAGTGGAACCAGCAGAGGCACATTGTCCACCTGGTCCAGGTGAGGTCGTATGTTTTGGATACCTCGAGGTAATTTTGCCTGCAAGACACGAATGCGACATCATTATATGTTTGCTCCCAATAGTAAGAAGTATATCCTTGCTGAGCCACTAGTGGAGCTTATCCCCAGTTTCTGTAGCATGAAGCAGATGAGTGTGTGATATTCCCCCTGGGTGGGACGCTGGTCCACCACAGGCTACTCTCAGCAGTTTTCTGCTACCCATTGATACAGCCGGGTAGATTGAAGCAATGTAAAGTGCATTGCTCAAGGACACAAGCGATGTATGATTAAACAATTTTATCATGAAAACAATGGCTATGGCTTCAAAACCAAGGCATTTTCAACAGGAAGAGTGCAGGGAGATACTACAGTGCCTGAGCACCCACTTGTTTTTTTCAAACGTGAACAAAATAATAGTAAATTAATGGGAATAAAAAGCCAAGTTCAGCGAATGTAATATTTCGATTCGACATCTCCCTTTTCAAAATCCTGGATATGCCACTGAAGTAGGGAGGCTCAATCATTCTCAAACAGTTTATAAAATAATCATTTATACAGACTACCAAATTTAAATTAAGAACTTATACTTACTCGGTTGAATATATCAAAACCAGTGCTACCAGGGTCTGTGACGCTCTCTGTATCGGCATCAGTGTCACTAAACGTCTCTGAAAAGTGACGTTGACGTTCCTGGTTCAGAGACACACTATCAAGGCTGTGTGCGCTGCTTAGGGTTGGTAGACGAACATGCTTCTGTTCTCCGTGGCATGTAGATGTCTTAGCCGTCAGAAGTCCTGTTGTCTCAGACTCTCCACTGACATCTCCCTGGCTAGCATGACCTTGGATTGCCAAGTTCTCTTGTGTCAGAGGTTGTGGAAGCAATGCACTTCTTTCAGATGTTGCATCTGCAATACTATCACTATCTCTTACTTTGGAAGAGTCTTTAGGAGATTCTTTTCCATCAGTATCTAAAAAATCACCAGTGTCATTATCTTGATGTTCTGTAACCTCAATTTCTATTATACTCTGGTTTACATTGTCTTCAGATTCTCCATCGGGACCTGTTCTTCCAACATCATCTTCTGTGAATTCCTCCTGGCCATGAAACGTGACCTGACCTGTTTCCACATTAACCTTTATATGTTCAGGCTTGGACGATGACTCAGAAGCTTGTTGCGATACCTGATTGGATGTTGGATCTTCACTAAGAAGTGAAATGTGACAGTTCCAACCAGTTTCTAAACCAATTTTTTCTGAAAAAACCTGCAATTACAAGAAAGTATTTATTTAGTACTAATAATATTATTATTCACAATTCGACACATTCACCCAATTCAAAAATAAGAATATTAACCACATAAGGCTATCGGTACCTTGCTCCTGAGTTCTTGGTCGCGTGAAAAATGCACAAAGCGAATGCATGCTTCATCCAGGTTCTCCAAGAGGTTCACGATGTCGGACTTGGCCTGATAGTTACAGGACACCATTCCTATAAAAATCTGGCCACATTGAGCTCTAGTAAAAACAAAACAGAAATATATGTCCTTATTGGCAAGACTGTATGTGGTTTAGTGGCCTAACGCTGACTTAGACAGCAAGAGGTCGTAAGATTGAGTCTCATTGGTAGCATTTTTTAAGACAACAAGAATTAAGATAACACTTTATTTTATTTATTTCCAGGCAAAACAATACAGTACAATAGATAAGAGAAACAAATGACAAAAACAAAAAGCCTGAGGATTACCAAAAAGCGAACTTTCCCTTTGATGCGACAAACCTATGTGTTCCCCGCTTTTGGATCGCGCGCGGGTGTATTACTCTATAATTTTTTCGTTAGCAACAACTTGGCAACGACATTTTTATTATTTTATTTTATTTATTTCCAGGCAAGACAATACAGTACAATAGATAGGAGAAACAAATGACAAAAAAACAAAAAGCCCGAGGATTACCTAAAAGCGAACTTAATCACTATCTAAAGGCTCTCAAAAACATTAAAAATACAAACATTAAAATCTGAAAAATTCACAATTCATATATGTACAATATAAAAAATTAATAAAAATAAAATAAAATATTATTAATATTATTAAGAGAATTACAATTCCATTAAGGTAAAAATATAATTTAATTAATTTAATATGATTTAATTAAAAAAATATTGCTTAAGTACATATTTAAATTTTGTGGAATTAATTGCACATTCCCTAATATTTGGAGGTAGGTCATTCCATAAATAATTAAAAACAGTAAATTTATAACAATTGGTTCTAGCAAATTGGATCTTAAATCTAAAATCAAACAGATGATGGTTATTAACAACAGGAAGAAGATTTGGTTCAATTTCATATTTTCTATGGAAGCAAGACAATACAAAAGAAAGAAGGAGGTATTTATAACGGTCAGAAATAAGTGAAATCTGAAGGAGGGATAAACGTTCAGCATAATTAAAAGTAGGATCATAATTAAAAACAGGCCCGCGTTCCTATTTTTAAGCACTTTTTCATCATTTACATACTTGTTTGTTTGTACATGTTCATAAGTGCTATGCAGTAATCAGTACTTTAATAATTAATTAATTTAATTAATTTCTTAGGCTGTTTGGGTATCCAGACTTACTTGTAGCACCCTTCTGCATCCCTGATATCTCCGACTGCATTCATTGCGGAATCTAAACTGTGATACGGCCGTTCGGACCCATCATTCACATCAAGATCATATCGGCTACCATTCCAAGATGCCCTGAAGATTTTAAAAAATGAAATACTGTGCTGTATAAAATAACACACCTTATTCTAGAGTCACCAGTCTTAGAGAATGCATTTCCGGGCATATCTAGTGAAATTTGTTCCCAGGAACTTATTACATCACACAGCACTTATGAGCACACAATACTTTTGAATTAAATATCTTTTTAGTCTCCACAAATATTTTGGCAATCACCGCTTTAAGAGTGCCAGAACGAAATAAGCTTTTTAAATTGTTCTGAACAAATCCCTCAATAGCCGCATTTGGAATGAACGCCTCCCTCGAATAAACGCCGCGGGGCATTTTTTTTTTTTCCCTAGAATAAATGCTTTAAATTCCAACCCCAACATCATTCTCAACACATTTTGTTTATGTTCTACTCCACTAAAATTACATTTTTTCTAAACTGATTGGGATCATCACGGAATAACACATTTTGACGGTAAATATGTGCTGTAGTTCCACATATACGACAAAATTAAGGGGCGTATATTTTACACCAAAAAAATAAACACCACGCTCAAATAAACACCACCCTTGAATAAACTCCCCTTCAAATACCTTTCTCAACAATTAACACCCCGGGGCATTTATTCAAATAAATATGGTATGTACCCTGCTAAAGGGACCACCATGGTTTTGCTATTATCTAAAATAAAGGAGAAGGTTCTTGATTATTCTAACAATTCCAGTAACTATGAACATTTAATTGCAACTTATTTCTAGGTCTACATTTGTGGCAAAGACAAGCCAAACCAGTCAGTCGTTGCAAAAATCAATTTTTATTTACTAATACAGTGTTCAACAGTAAAATAAAAGCTATAAAGTGGTAAAAAAATTATTTAAATCCGACATTCCCTTGAGAAGTTACAGGAGTTTAAAAATACAGCTGCTTAAAGAACAATATTTGAGAATCAGCCTTCAAAGTTTATGATTTCGGGCATTTCTCAGGCAGAAACCATCACCAAATCGTTGAAAATTGTTGTTTTAACATTGAAAGTGGGGAAAATAACAGTACAGTATGATGTATATATACATAAATGTTAGTTTAGTGCAATAAAACAGATTAAAAAAAACTGACATTCCAGCATGTTTTGGACAATATCTCCGAAACTGGATTTGCGACATGTGACTGGTTTGGCTTGTCTTTGCCACATTTGTTGTTGCCTGCAGCCCATGTAAGAATTAACCTACCATTCTCAGCTAAGCCACACTTACCTGGATACATGTGGAGATTCATACTCTACTACTGGTTGTCCTTGCTTGCTCCGCTTGGGTAGCTCTATGAAGCACTGTTCAAGGTAATTAGCTATGGAGTGCACCATGGGTCGGTAGGAGAATGCCCAGCAATACGATGCTAAACACTGGCGTTGGTAAAAATCTAAAATTTTCTTCCTGTAAGAAAGTATGTATATATTGTATTGATCTATGTATTTATGTATCACCCCAGTATTTATCTAGGTATATATAATACCATACATACATACATAGCTGTAATGCAGTTGAAACTTTATACTGAAATGGTCTCACTAGTTTTTACAGTAACTTGCTTTTCCCCTGAGGGTCTCTTCGTCTCTGAGCTACCTGGTAAACCGGTACCAGCTACTCTTGTCTGTCCACAACAGAGAGACTATATATTTATCTAAGTATCTATGTGTCAATCTATGTATTGATCTGTGTATGTATGTACTGTTCTGTGTATCTATGTATTGATCTGTGTACTGTTACCTATGTATTGATTTGTGTACATATGTATTGATCTGTGTACCTATGTATTGATCTTTGTATGTATGTACTGTTCTCTGTACCTATGTATTGATCTGTGTATCTATGTATTGATCTGTGTACCTACCTATGTACTGATCTGTGTACCTATGTATTGATCTGTGTACCTATGTATTGATCTTTGTATCTATGTACTGTTCTGTGTATCTATGTATTGATCTGTGTACCTATGTATTGACCTGTGTACCTGTATTGATCTGTGTATGTATGTACTGTTCTGTGTATATATGTATTGATCTCTGTACCTATGTATTGATCTGTGTATGCATGTACTGTTCTGTGTACCTATGTATTGATCTGTGTACCTATGTATTGATCTTTGTATGTATGTACTGTTCTGTGTACCTATGTATTGATCTGTGTACCTATGTATTGATCTGTGTACCTATGTATTGATCTGTGTATGTATGTACTGTTCTGTGTATCTATGTATTGATCTGTGTACCTATGTATTGATCTGTGTATGTATGTACTGTTCTCTGTACCTATGTATTGATCTGTGTATCTATGTATTGATCTGTGTACCTACCTATGTATTGATCTGTGTACCTATGTATTGATCTTTGTATCTATGTACTGTTCTGTGTATCTATGTATTGATTTATGTACCTATGTATTGACCTGTTTACCTTTATTGATCTGTGTATGTATGTACTGTGTATATATGTATTGATCTCTGTACCTATGTATTGATCTGTGTATGTATGTACTGTTCTGTGTATCTATGTATTGATCTCTGTACCTATGTATTGATCTGTGTATGTATGTACTGTTCTGTGTACCTATGTATTGATCTGTGTACCTATGTATTGATCTGTGTACCTATGTATTGATCTGTGTACCTATGTATTGATCTGTGTACCTATGTATTGATCTGTGTACCTATATATTGATCTTTCTATCTATGTACTGATCTGTGTATCTATGTATTGATCTAAGCATTGTTCTATGTAGTTATATTAATGTGTGTCAGTCTATTTATTCTGTTAGTTTTCATGCACTCACCTATCCACACCCTTATTTGTCACTAAATCATACAGAATCAAATACTCAATTATATAAAATTTTCAATAAATTTACCTGTGATTTTCAAATATTGGGCAGATATCAGAGCCATCCCAAAAGTCAGTGCATGCATCCAAGACAAAGTCAGCAGTTCCTTGTGTCAGTAATTGCTGCATTTCTACAATCAACCAATGAGTCAATCAATCAATCAGTCGTTCAATAAATCAATGAATCATTCAAGCATTCAGACATTAAATGATTCCATCATTCATTCAACTGAAGGACTGACCGACCCACCAACCAACTGACCAACCAACCAACCAACCAATCAAACCAACCAACCAACCAATCAATCAACCAACCAATCGATCAATCAACCAACCGACGGACGGATGGACGGACCGACCAATCAATCGAACGACCAACCAACCAATTGATCATTACTAATCAATCAACCAACCAACCGAGCAACCAGCTAACTGACAAGCATACAACTAACCAATCACTCAATCAATTACAGTATTCATTTTCATTTACACGTTTGATGTTAAAAACAACTGCATAAATAAAATAGATATATGAAATGATTAAAATATACAGTAAAATCATTTGTTGAAAACTATAATGATTATTGTTACCTGTTCTTGTGTCTTCTACAATTACTGACATCATGTGTGGGATTGGTGTTTTGCGTTTAATGAATGTTTGTACTCTTTGGATCCGACCTCTCTCTGGTTGTAGTTTCTGAATCTACAACATCATAAAGCAAGAGGAAACAAAATAAAAGATGAATGGGGGCTCAGAGACTGCAGTCAAGATAGAGGGTCCAAGACGCAGTACAGGCAAACCAAAAATAAGATTGAATAAATTCTAAAAAGAAAAGCAAGTCATAAAAGTGAAATAATGGCCGTTGTTTACACTTACAGGTCTGTAGGCTGCAAGTTGATGTTGAAGTTTGTAGGAATCGGTAGCACGGTCAGTAAAGCCAATAAGCCTCGCTAACTGACATAAACAGCTTTAAATGGAAAAGACATACAAGTAGATTTACATAAAAGTGTATAAAAATATTTGGTGTGTATAAAATTTCTCTCACCTACACTGTACATGGTCTTCTTATAAAGCATGAATTGTTATGTAAATATGACTACATGCTTCATCCTGGCCAATTATCAATAAAGAGCTCAGGAGATCGATATTTTCAAAGGTAAAAAAAGACAATAGAGTATATAGACTAATGTTAGGTTCTGATAAAGCATATTATAGATATGTATGTACGTACATATAGAAATATTAATGAAAATGATATTTATATATGACTACATTGCATGCCAGCATCAGATAGATTCCCATGAAAATTGCTTTTGACATTTAGTATAACAGATTCATTTCTTCTCATTTATCAACAGATTCATTTCTTCTCATTTATAAAGCCATCGTCCTCCCTAGACTTGAATATTAGAGTCCAGTATTTAAAAAGGACGTCATAGTTATTCAAAATCTTCAATGCAGTGCAACTAAGCTCATTACATCTATACGTGATTTTGAATACCATGATCGTCTCCGGATACTTGGACTGCCATCTCTTACTTATCGTTGCATCAAAGCCAACTTAATTCAGATTTTTAAGATATTAAACCAATTTGAAGACCTACCGGAAGAATGCTTTTTACGAGAATAACGGATTCAGTGTCACGAGGCCGTAGCCTTCACATTCGGCCTATTTTATTCAGATCTGAGGTTCGCAGAAATGCTTTTTCTGTGCATTTAATAAATGAATGGAACTCACTACCAAATTTTGTTGTAATTTCTAAATCTGTAAACCAGTTCAAAACTTTACTTGCAAAAGCTCACAAAAACCATCCGAAACTTTACCTTCCATATTATGAACTGTAATGCTAATGCATGAAGGGCTCATAAGCAAGATGCTTCAAGAATCTCTACTATCAAGTAAAGTAAAGTAAGTAAGCAAGTAATATACATAGTGATATAATTTTAGCATTTTACCTTTGCTGTTGAATATAGAGAGGGTTTTCCTTCAAGTTTCCAGCGCAGTACACATGATCAATGAACTGCGAATGATGTTCAACAGTCTGTTTGTTGCATGTATTCAGTAGAATATTCAACCCCTGAAAAAAAAAAAACATTATCACATAAGAATAACTTCATGATGTAATAAAGAAGAAGTTTACTGCATGATGAGAATTTATACATACCATTGGTTTCAGAGAGTTGATGTGTTTCTCCCAATCAGGCTCATCAAACTGAACCTCCTTTGAATCTGACTGAAAAATAAAAAAACCAGAAAAACAGATGGAAATTAGCTTGAAATAAAATCATCATTCCAATTTGTTGAATATCCACTTCTTTATACAAATTATTGAAAAAAAAAACTTAATATTGAAGTACACAACTTAGTAATTAATATTCATAAAACTTACATTAAGATTGGCAGAAAGGCCAAGTATTTCACCATTAGCATCTTGCATGACTGCAGTATGAGAAAAGCACAACAATAAAATAAATGGATTGAATTGAAGTTGTTGTTTGCAGCAGAGTAGAAAAATTTGGACTTTTAATTAAAAAAAAAAAAGGTTTTTGGACTTTTAATAAAAAAAAAAAAGGTTGTAAGCTCAAGTAATTTCATCTGGTTTCTGTGATGCATGAAACATGGAAATTCTTGTAAGTAAACAAAAAAAAAGCTCACAAACAGTACATATATATTTTCTGAATTTACTTAAAAGAATTTTTTCCATGTTTCAAAAAGGTTGTAGTTAGGAAGAATGTGTTACTCATATACATTTATAAGCTAATATGGACATCACCCAACAAGCAAACCAAAAACTACATTGACCATAATATGGCAATGAATATAAAATTATAACCATCATTATCAGTGTAAGTGCAAATGTAAACTCATATCTTAACAGCAACTCACATAAGTAAAAATAAGCTCACAGCAGGAGCAAGTGTCCATGCCCTATACCGCCTTACTGTATTATGTTTTCTAATAGAGTATCCACATGTGATTCTGTTATTAGGAAATGTGTGGTGTTGTATTTTTTGTTGCATTTCTTGACTTTCGTACCGTAATAAGGTACTTAAGATGACACATGACCCATCATGCACCTCCATCGGATTTACCCTTTCCGTCATCTTTATCTGCCAGATCATAACATAGTGTCTTTGTTCCCGATGGGGCATAGACACAAAAATTTAGGAATATTTGAAAATCTGAGTATTCTTACTTGGTTTCTTTACAACCTGGATTCCCTGTTCGTTTTCATCCACGTCCGTTTGCTCAGTTTTACTATGATCCTCAGAAGCAGTAAAGACAGAATCGGTGGTGGACGCATCATCTGGCTGGAGACCAGTCAGAAAAAATACTCTCTCAACGGACGGATCAGGCTGCGACAATATTCCTCGCTTATCAACACAACTGAACACCTATAAAAATATACTTCTTTATTTTCCTTTACCACAAAACAGCAAGTAACTGGCCAATCAGTACAAAGAATTGTGTGAAAATCTTTACTTTATTAAAAGAATGCTATAGATTTATGATGATTACCGAAAATCCTCAAATAAGCACCACAGCACTTATAACATTTTTTAAGGCTTCAGTGCGACGCCTATTCGAGAGTGGCACTTATTATGAAAATTACTGGTGGCGCTTCCATGTGTTCCTATGTTAGTATTGTATCTCACATATTCCTGTAGTTTGGTAGGACTATAGGCCCTACATAATCGTAAATAAACATTTACCAAGATATGCTTGTGTCTTCATTGTGAACTATTTATTTATTTGAACACTGTACACATTGTATTTAAAACCTGTTTCTCAAAGTGTTTCATTACAAACAGGGTAACATGTACTCTCGCTTAAGCGCTGCGGCGCTTATTCAAGAGCGGCACTTAGTGCAAAAAATCATGTTTAGTGCAGCCCATATTCAAGAGTGGTGCTTATTCAAGGATTTACGGTATATCATTTTAGTATTAGCTTATACGATCTAATATTGTTCAATTATTGATCAAATTTATTTGCATTTCTGGTAACTTACTGTCATACTTCCAAGTGCATGGAAAAGGTTACTTGTTCTAGGGAGATAGCTGGATGAGCCGCAAATGATGGCTTTGAAATGTTCCCATACTTCATTCCATGGAAGCGAATCATCCTAAAATTATTTGTTAATTAAAAATTAACATTGTAATTATTATTCTACCAATTAAGTAAACAATATTAAAAAGACTTAAAATGTCAACTACCTCCTCGCCCTCCCACCTAAAAAACAAGGATAAACTTGCCATGCTGTTAATGTTATTCAAATAGAGAAGCACCCATAGCAAACATTTTTTTCACAATATTTAATTCACAAATTGTCACATGGTAACACAGATGTCATCTAATAGCTGTAACTGAAACTCTGCTAAAGTCTTGTTGACACTGTTAAATTTTCTGTGACAAATATATATGTGATATGCACATATATATAGACATGATGATGTCATATCGACACAGTGGACAATAATATACACCTGGACAGTAATGCATGCAATATGCTAAGTGGTTTCATTAAAGTATTTTAGAGTTTTGTGGTAATCGATTAGAAGTTTAATGTTAAAGATGTTAACACCTGGAGCTCTCCGACATGTTATTGGCTAATATGCAATAAGCTGGCATTTACAATGTAATACAAATGATGTGAAAATTCTTCAGAAGACAGGGGCATGACTCGTCAAAAGAGGGCAGTATTAGTGTATTTACGGTAAGTCTCTGAGACACAATCATTCATGTATTTTACTTACGGAAGTGATTGCTTTCTCGGTCTCGAGTTCATCACTTATAGCATGTCGCTAAAATAAATTGATGGTTTTGTGGATAAATTAAAAAAGAAAAAAAAGAAAATTCAGCTAGTAATTAACACAATCATGCATTAATACAAATGATAGTACAGTACAAACTACTTAGTGTTAAGAGCTGTTAAAGAACACATAGTTAATAATATACATAAATATTACATTTAATCCCAGGCAAATAAAAGAATGAAACAGGAGGATCTACATGCATTCACATTTCAATTAAAAAAAAAAAATATCTTCACAATATCTACTTTCCAAGATCAGCACAATCTATTGTTATTATTATCGCAAGTACATTGTAATCCTCCTACTCTTTTATCTCATCACCATCATCGTCCAACAATTCAGCATCATCCTCATCACATCCTACCGACCCCATCACAAGTGTCATCCTCCTCCGTAACAAGGCCAGTCATCATCACATCATCACCCAAATAATTATCATCATCATCACCCTATCTTATTTATTAAATTACAGATAAAAATCAGTGAAGATTAAAATAAGGAACAATAACCACATCTATAGCCTGACAAGCATGGAAACGTTTGGTGGGATTGCAGTCAACTTGCCCCTAGCAAACTCGCCCCTTACAAGGGACGAGTTTGTTGGGGGAAAGTTGGTAAGGAGTGAGTTTGTAGGGGGCGAGTTTGTTAGGGGGCGAGTTTGTTAGGAGGAAAGTTTGTAGGGGCGAGTTTGCATGGAGCGAATTTCTTAAGAAGCACCAGTTTGTAAGGAGCGATTTTGAAGGGGGGGGGGGGCGAGTCTGTTAGGGGGAAGTTTGTTAAGGGGCGAGTTTGTAGCCCATGCTGTGCAAGTCGTTTGTGTCCTTGTCCAAGACAATTAATACAGAGTAAGAAAATACTTAACTGCGTGCATTTTCACAGACCATAAACAATAATAAACAATAAAACTGCAATTGAAGAGAAAAATGTTTTAGGTTCTGTCAATACTATGAACTTTTCTTTGACAAAAAAACTGTTGTATGCCCATATATAGTCATCATGTGCCTATATTTGGTCATAATGTGATGTCATCATGACACATGCTTTTGTCAAACAGAATTTGATAGTCTGGACAGCTGCTTTACGGATATGATCTACCTCTTCCTTCTGCAATGCTTTGTTAAAGACAGCAACTATTCTTGCAACACCAAAGCTGTTAACTACAATCCAGCACATTGGAAAGAATAGTGGGAGCAGGGGTATGACAGTGTTTATCTGAGGAGAGAAGAAAAAAACAGATGATAAACCATAATATATAACATTTGATAAAACATAGTAAATAATAATGCAGTGATGATAAACATAACAGTGTTTTACTATTTTGAAATTGAAATCAGTGCATTCAAGAAAGACACACATTAATGTTTGGAACCGTCCAAAATGAAAACCTGTATATTGTAATTCTATTGGTGCTTCCTACAGCTTGTTTGTGGTTGGTGTTCTTGCTGGTGGGATGATATTTAAGACCTTGAAGCCCCTGTCTGATAAGGAGGAGGTTCCAACTGGCTAGTGTAGCTAAACACATTTTGCAAATTTGTGTTGGCAGAAATTCATAGTACGTAACAAGTACAACTGTTTGACTGTAAATTCAACTACTGATCAATCATTGTATTAAAGAAATTATACTTAATTTATTTTATTTATTTTGTAAATTTTGTCCACTTTCAGGGAACATATCTGGATATTTTATCATTGAAAATAAATATACAACTTTCTATTTCTTACCGGTATTGCAAGTATCATTTCTGGCCACTCCCCAACATCCTCTGTCAAACCTAAGTAACGACCAATGTTTGTTAATAATGAAATGACCTAGATGCAGGATAAAGAAAAACAAAAATAAATCAATAAATTAATGCACCTTGATTTCTGTTTTTCATCTATTATAATACAGTGTAAAACCAATGCAGTAATTAATACAATTCTGTGCACTTATTTTCCAAGAGATTTTCCACACAAATTTGAACTGGTTTTTGAGGTATCATCCGTGCAATTAAAAAACTTAAACTGTGAATGGGCAGTGGCAATCTAGGATTTGAAATGGGGGTTGATGGGGGTCATGAAAGTGCAGAAGGTGTGGGGTTTTGATGGTTAAATGAGGGGGTGCTAGCTCACCAATTATGGAAATATGAGGTGATTTTTAACTACTTGAGTGTATTTTTTTTTTGCTTCAAACATCTATGGGGGGGGCGGTCGGGGGGGGGGGGGAGAAATTGGCATTTGTGGAGGGGGCATCCACAATGCACACGCAATGGATCATTTTTAATCCACTAAGACTGCCAATAACGACCAGCAGAGAACCCCCTATCAGAAACCTTGTACCCCTCATTGGGGAATTTCTGTTTCTTCCCCTGTTTCTCTCACAACCACAAACAGATTCATTCTAAAAGTCTCATAATAGAACATAATTTTATAGAGCATTTTGATAAAAATGAAATAAAATATAAGTTAAAAACCTACAAATATAATTGGTAGAAGAATCCTCTCAACAAGTCTTGTGCACATGATACGTTTGTTCTCCAAGACAGACACTGGTCGATTCTGTGATTGATGTAAAGCAACTCTACCAATATATTTAAAAAAAATACCATTAGGCTAGAGTCAACATTAAAGTCAATATTAATTTAAAAAGTTACTGTAGTTCTTATGTAAGCCTATTTATAAATTAATATTTATGGTGGGCAGACTGGCAGACTTGGGCAGGGCCACCCAGCCATGAAGTTTTCCTCTCTTCAACAATGTTTAATTTTGTGATTATAGAAATAGGAAAAGAAATGAATAATTGTGCTTATTCAAGTTATAAAGAGCATGATAACTGCATACGTCTTTCTAACCTTAGATTTTTCAGATACGGTGTTTCTAAGACTTGGAAGCAATTAGCTTTTAGAGGTTTTCGAGCAACTGGTAGAGTTGGTGATGATAGCTTGGATGATTCCGCCTCAAAACGATCACCAACATTTAGAATTAATTCTGTCTCCTAAGAAATAGTAAAAGTTTGATATATATATCGTCGCTCACATCACGAACTAACACAATTAAATTCAATTGTGTTAGTTCGTGAGATCACAGTAGCGCGTCAAAACGAGCGCGTATTGGTTGTCAAGCAATTTTGTATTCTTTACCACACAAAAAGTCCTTAACGACAACAGCGCGTATTTTGACGCGCTTTTTTGATTTCACGAACTAACACAATTGAATTTAATTGTGTTAGTTTGTGATGTGAGCGACGATATAGTAACAAAGTAATGAAACATATCAAGTAAAGACATGATTATCAATTAAAATAAATTCTAGCACATCTTAATTTAATATAAAAATGTAATCAAATAATTATTTTTTCTAAATTAATTTCTTTAAAATAAATTAGCTTTATTTTACATACCTCGATATGCCTCACTTTGGCGGGTGCTACTTGACCTGGCCGGATCATGACCCTGTCACCCTCTACCAGGAGGGCGCTAGGCAGGTTGACTAACCGACCATCACGATATGTCCAGATCAAACTGAATGATTTTGTAAATGGGCTGTGAAGTGATGGGTATGATGATGCAGTCCATTTCACTCCCTGATCAATGCAATCTAAAAATAATTTATACATTTATATGATGGATTTTTCTTATACTTAAACTAAGCATTAAGCATTCTACACTGCTTTATTATGTAGTTCTTCAAGATTGCATTATTATCATCAACCAAACATGCGATAAATGAAATCATTTTTGCTTGCTGCATACAATTAAAGACATAGAAAACAATAAAAGGCCTAAGTATTGTTTGAAGTTTTGCATGCAAGGTAATAATATAATGCTTGCACCATGTAAATATTTCTGAAAAGAACTGTTGTTGGTTGAAAATGTCTTGACTTTTCAATTGAGTTGCTTCAATTGTCTTCAGGAGAATAATATCTGCTGTAAATCTATCGCCATTTTTGTGTATTTCATTGACTATGAAAGAATTTCTGTGTCTATTTGTGCATCCTCCAATTGGTTTAATTCTACCTGACCTCTAATAAGTGATAAACTGATTTCAAGGGTGTTTGGTGCTGTTAATACTTTTAATGGATTTCTAAAATAAGTAGTCGACATGAATGTCCTTGATGTGTTTAATAATGCAACCCATAACTTTTTGCATGCCATTTTCATTATTTTCTTAAATATAACCTTTTTTTCAGATAGAACTGGCAAACCAGTAAGTAGAATTATAAAGTAAAACACTTAAAACTTTTATTTTGAAAAAGAAAATTTCGCTTTTCCCGGGTAAACATACCACTGATGTAATCCAGTAATAGTTCTCCTCGGCGGATCATTTCATTGCGTTGCAAGCTGTAATCCCAGCCAGTAGCGTAGACATTTATCATCAGTAAAACTAGTAGTATTAATGCCTCAGCGATGTACAGCTCATTACCAGATGAACCATAGGCTACAATCATCAGAGCTGCTGCCAGCAAGATAAGCAGGGCACTAAGCCAGTGCAAGGGAGACCGGTGGCTAAGTCGCAAGCCTAATGGCTGGCCTAGGTTGGACAGGAGGGTCTGGGACTGTTGAAGATCATTCTGGAACTGCTGTATCTCATGTTCCACGGCCTTATGCAGCTTCTGCAATGCCTGGTGGCTTAGCAGGCCAACGATGGCATTCGGCTCATCAACCATCTATGAATAACATAAATAGGGGAATAAAAATTACATAGTATACAATATAGGGGGCATAGTGAAGTATTTTTCATTAACAAAAAAGAATGTGCAAATATTCTCTTTCTAATGTCTTCCTAGGTTCTGATGACGAAATATACATGTTAAATTACAACTTCTACAGGCTTCTATCTATTCTTGATAAATGTTTTAAAACATAAATAATATATCTCAATAAAGAGGGAATGGATATTTTACTGTAGTGCATTGAGATAGTGAGATTGACGTTTAAGGGTTTAGTTTAGGCCTAGAGGTTCAAGAAGCCAACTCCACCAATAAATTACTTGTGTAAAATCGTTGAAACAATATATCCATGCATGGTAATGAAAATATCCTATCCCAAAACTTAAGAAAGGCAATCCACCACCAAACTATGCAAAGCTAGGCCTAAGGCCTAGGCTAGGCCCCACCTGTTTGGTAGTCTAACTAGGCCTAGGGCTAGGCGTCAGAACAAATGCAGGTCAGGGTCCTCCTGGCCTAGCCTACCGGGACCAAAGCCTAGCAGAAGCACACACGCACACAAGATCTAGGCCTAGCCTAGGGCCTAGAGAGAGTAGGGCCTCGCCTAGGAGTAGGAGCCTAGGCCTAGGGCCTAGCTTCCTCGATATGTTGTGTTGAGGATTTAAACCTATGCTAGGCCTATAAAAGTAGGCCTATAGGCCTAGCCTATGCAGTTTTAAGATAAACTTACTATAATATAGGCTAGTGATAACCTATTTATATCCTAGATTACTGCTATTGGGATTTTTATGTCAAACATTTCCTCCCAGTTGTACTCTAGGCATATACAAGGAAAACATGTTGAACCCGCTCCTCGAGGTCAGTGTGCCGCCCGACGATATGGTTGAGTAAACTTAAAATTAGCCAATCACAATTCGTTGCCTGCGCTCCAAAAAAATAGGTAAACATAAGGTTTGGGGAATCCCAGGCTGACAACAACTTTTTAAATTACTATTATTAAAATTATAATACTAAGACTAATAAATAATAATAATAATAATAATATGAATAATAATAAAAAATCGAAAATTATTTATTATTTATATGGTACTATAAATATATGTACTATATATATATATGTAATAATAATAATAATAATATCAGCAAAAATTTGAACAATATATAATGTTAATGCTAAGACTAATAATATATATTAAAACTAACGGTAATAAAAACAACAATAATAATAACAACAATGACAACAATAATAACAGCAATAATAATAACAATTAGTACAATGTAGTACCAGTAAATGACTTGTGGCCGAGTTGACTTGTGGCCGAGTTGATTTGTGGCCGAGATGACTTGTGGCCGAGTTGACTTGTGGCCGAGTTCACTGTAGC